AGATAAGGTCAAGTTAAAGGAGTTCATTATCACCAAGCCCTTATTATATGAAATGTTAAAGGGATTTATCTGAGAAAAATAAGATAAAAAATATGAACAGTAAAATGAGTTGTAATGAGTAAAACGAGTACTCTCAGTTGTTAACAACCAAACCTAAAACAAGAATGTAAGCAAACTAAGCAAACAACTGGAACAGGAACAGAACCACAGAAATGGAGATCACGTGGAGGGTTAGCAACAGGGGAGTGGGAGGAGGAGAGAGGGGGAAAAGGTACAGAGAATAAGTAGCATAAATTGTAGGTAGAAAATAGACAGGGGGAGGGCAAGAATAGTATGGGAAATGTAGAAGCCAAAGAACTTATTTGTACGACCCATGGACATGAACTAAAGGGGGGAATGTGGGTGTGAGGGGGTGTGCAGGATTGAGGGGAATAATAGGGGGAAATAGGACAACTGTAATAGCATAATCAATAAAATGTATTTAAAAAAATTTTTTTAAAGCGTTTTCTGGTTCCTTGCGTTCAGGTGCTATTCTCAAGGTGCACACGAGAGGGCAGCACCTTCTCGATGCTTTCCCCAGTAACATCCGCTGAATTCGATGTACATCGACTGAACAACAAATTCCTAAAATTCCCACGAGGTGGCAGCAAAGACCACCTTTTCCTGGCTTAAGGGCTCTGCCCACTCCGTATTAAAAAGAGAATCCAAAAAGAGAAAGAGAAGCCAGATTTGCTAATAAGCTCACTTTGATACGATTCCTATTTTAAGCGCATCACATGCCTTTTGCTCCCATTTGCCAGGTGAGGCAGGAACATTCGCCATCTGCATTTTACAGGTATTTCAACTGAGGGCTGATTCGAACTGCTCCAAGTCCAGACCAAGGCCCAACGGGGCCGAGACGGGCAGAAGAGCAGGCACCCACAGGGTCCTGAACAGATGCAGTGACCCCCAGTCCTCCAAGCTTTAGGTGAACCCTTGGCTGTTCTATCTGAGGAAAATCTGCACATGGCCTGACAGCCCAGCCTGCCACGCACTCACCCACCGGTGTTTGGGGGGGGGACTTGGGCAGGCAGCTGGGAAGGGGGCAGGCAGGGAGGAGGAGGTGGTTTGGGCCTTCTCAAGAGCACAACCAGCACCAGATTCCTGTCACAGTGACTTTCCCACTTCCACTCCCTGCCTGTCCCCACACTGTCTGAAATCTGTTCTTCTACCCACGTTCCCTTCCTCGGGGGCCTCGCCTGGCACTAGCTTCCTAGGGGCTCAGGATGGAGTCGAGGGTGGCAGTTCAGTTCCTGGAGAAGAGCCTGAGCCACAGACAGGGGCAGAGCTGACTCCTGGCTCCACCGCCCACCAGCTGTGTGACTTCAGGCAAAGGAACGTAAACTCAGTCTCTGCCAGACGGGGTGACGGGCCCTCTCAGGGCGCAGGGAAGACTCAGTGAGGTGGGGTGTTCACTCCTGCCCGACATGGGGTCAGCCTCACGCTCCCTCCCTCTTCCCTTCTGTGTCCCTTCTCACCTTCTCTGGGCCGAATAAGTCAAGAGTCCAGCAAATAGGCTCCTTTCAGCAGAATGAGCTCTCGTACTGGTGTCCAGACGGCCCAGCTTCCCCTGGGCACTCACTCCTGCACCGGTCTGGCTTCCACCTCAGGGAGGCACAGACCACAGCCTCTCTCTGGTCCCCACACCCCTGCTCCTCCGCAAACTCGGGGTCCTGCCTCAGCGCAGGGCAACACCACCCCACACCAGTCCTCTCGCTGCTCCCTCTGCTTCCTGGCCCCAGTTCGCCCAACCCAGCCTCCACACTGTGACCAGCTGATCTTTCGAAGTTAGGGATCTGACCCCTTCCCTTCCCACGCATGAGAACTGCCCACAGCCTCCCCCACCCCAGCCTGGAGAATAGTCTCCCGCATCGGCACAGTGTTGAGACCCTTTCTCGGCCCCACTCCTCCTCCTGGTTTCACTTCAGACCGCCCCACCCCACCCCGTCGCCAGGAACCCGAGAGGCCAGCATCGGCCTCTCCGGTTGGAGATGGCGAGGGCTTTCACAGACAGAGGTGCCCACACTGAGACTGAGCCTTGAATGTGGGAAACTGAGCAAAATACAGACTTCAGTTCATGATGATGTATCAATATCTGTTTATTAATTATAACAATTCTGTAAAAAGCTAGAAAGAGAGGAGAATTAAAAGGCAAATAAGGGAAACCTATTACTTCAATCTGGAAACCTAAAGAAAATGGGTGATGCCTAGTAAAAATAAGCCCTAAACATGATGGACTGTAAACTAAGGAAAACACACACAGCCCCGTGAGGCACCCAGGGGCCTCCTCCCCTGCTGCTTCTCCTCTCTTTGTCTCCGAGGTAAGAATGTTGGAGGCGATTCTTCCAGCTCCCACGGCGGGCCGTGCCCAGAGCCAAATGTACGTCTGTGTTGCCTCCAAGCCAGCGCCGTGGCTGCTCCTGCGTCTCTCTGATGGGTGCTCCACGTGGGCCGCTGCCCTGAGCCTGCGGATTTGCACTGGAAATGCCAAACACTTGCAGGAAGGAGCGCTGTCTGGAGGCTGGGGCCCCTGGCCAGCGGGAGCAACACTGAGGTTTTGGGAGTCTTGCATGGTGCTCTGCAAACACTTCCAGGATCTCATCAGGGTCTGCTTTGCCACGTCCTCACAGTGAGGCACGGCCGTGCAACTTTCTTCGCCACTGCAGGTGAGGAGAGGGGGCATGCGACCACGTGACCACCCCAACAAATATCGCCAATGCCAGCACGGCACTCATCGTTGCCCTCTTCTCCATTCCACAGCAGAGGGTGGAGCGTGGACGGCCCTCGCTCAGCGGGGTTCTGGTTTGGCGCCAGACAGCTGAGGTGCTACAGGCGGCTGGGCGGGGGAGAGGCTGCGCTTCTCACTGACCCTGCAGCTGGCACAGGGCAGAGCCCCTCCCACCCGACCCGTGAAGACCCCGAGGAGAAGCGCCCTTGGCACGGGCTCCGAGGCTGTTTGCTCTCACAGTGCATCGAGCCAGCCCACCTGACTGAGAGCTGCGGGTGCGTGGAAACCGGGTCTGGAAGACCGGCGGGAAGGGCGCCCCCGGGGGGCAAAAATGGGAGTCTTGTTGAGAAGATAACAGTGAGCACTGGGTGTTCTGGGGGTGGCTGAGGAGCAAGCAAGGAATGTATTTGTGGGAATAACTAGAAGCTAGACTTTGAAACACAGCTCCACCTTGGATCGCGGGGACTCAGATGTGCAGCTGAGCGTTCTGGGCTGTGGGGGTCGAGCTGGGCCATGAGGGGTCCTGAGCAGAGGGGAGGATGTCCACCAGCCCAGTGTCAGTCATGGTCGGTGCAGGCCTGGACCTCAGCGGCCCCGAAGGACGAGCCATTTCCTCTGACACCAGCCGGCACCCTCCTGCAGTCGTGGCCTCAGATGAAGCTTCTCACCTTCCAACTGCCCTCAGCATGTTAGGAAAATGCCTCTAACTCTGTCTTCACAGACTGTGGAGCATAAGTGTCCCTGCGGTTCCTGGCGTAGGGAGAGGGGTCTGCAGAGAAGGGGTCTGAGGCAAACTGCAGGGCAAGGACAGTGGGGTCAGCCGCAGAACGACCCACACTTGCCAGGGCTGGTCAAGACGGAGGTTCTGCAATGCTGCTTTCCTCGTCTTTTTTTTTTTTTAGATTTCATTTTGTTTATTTTTAGACAGAGGGGAAGGGAGGGAGAAAGAGAAGGAGAGAAACATCAATGTGTGGTTTTCTGTCATTCACCCTCTACTGGGGACCTGGTCTGCAACCCAGGCATGTGTCCTGACTGGGAATCGAACCTGCGACCCTTTGGTTTGCAGGCCGGCGCTCAGTCCACTGATCCACACCAGCCAGAGTGGACTCTTCACCCTTCGTAGGAGACACTTTGCTTCTGCCTCAACGGAAGATATTCAGACCTTTATTTATTCATAATGTTTTTAAATGTCACAGTAATGCACTTTACTATGGAACTCCTTTGAAATTCATTTTGAGGGGCACTCAGAAGATCTTTTTAATCTTGAACACCTCGAGGGCTGAAAGAGCTTTGTTTCCTGGTTGGCAACATCCACACACGGCTCCAAAGTCATCGTGGCCCATTCTGTTTTATTCCTCAGTGGGGTGACCTGTGTCCCACTAATGACTGGGACCTGGTCTGGGCTTGTCGCAGCCCTGCTCCGAGTGGGCGGTTTGCGGCGACCCGAACAAGGCCCTCCTGCTCGGGGACAACTCCTCTCCAGCACTGACAAAGCTTGAAGAGGCTGAAGCTGCAGGAAACCCTTGGCACCAGGCAGCGGGTGCGCTCCCGGCCGGGCGGGGGGGCCGGGCGAGGAGGGGGGCCCCCCGGGGCTTCTCCCTGACTCAGCAGCCCTGCCAGGACGGCGCCCTGGGGCCGTGCAGCTGTCGCCTGCTCTCGGCTGAACTCTCTCCCGGGCCTCTCCTCACCTGACCGTGATGGGGGGTGGGCACCGGAGGCAAGGGAGGAGAGGAAGGTGAGGTCGGCACCCGGCACTGACTGAGCATCTACTGGAAAGGCCCCGACACGACGAGCTTGTTGCCGGAGACGGTGAGTGATCCTGCCACGCCCCGTGGGGAGAAGTCCCCCAAATACAGCAGCTGGACTCTCCCTTCTGGAAGATTCTTTCTTAACTCACCCCAGTCTGCCACCGTGCCTCCCTCCATGTCTGCCCAGGGCACACTTTCCCTCAGTGCACCCAGGCACACCTACATGCATGCTCATACATGTCCACGCCAGCATGCGAGCTCACGTGCACGCACACCGCTCCACAGCGGGCATCGGCCTTGCCTGTCAGTCCTCGTTCAGACCGTCGGCGAGCCTCGGGCCAGTTCTCATGCTGGCCCTGCTCTCCCTAACTCGTGTGTCCCTCACTCCCGGAGAGGTCCCTCTCTCTGCCTCCAAACCAGCTCTGCCCGCCCCTGTGAACCAGTCCCCTTTCGCCGCTTGGACTCAGGGCAGCCCCCGCTTGCGGCTACAGGGTCCATGGGCTGTGGGGTCCATGGGCCCGCACCCCACGTCTGAGGAAGGTGACAGACACCACCGTTGGCACTTCGGGGGCAAAGGGACGAACCGTGACAAGGTGCTGCCGTGCATGTGGCTGCAAGAGACAGAACCAGCTCACAGGCGCACTGAACTCCTTCTCCTTTGACGACGGGAGCGGACTGCAGCCTGGGGGGCGGGGCACAGCTCGGTGAGTCCCTGCCCAGAGGACCACACGGTGACGCAGGCCGGTTTTGAGTGGTCGGCACTTAGCGCAGGCCCAGCCGTGGGCAGTTCTGTCTGTGCGCTCTGAGAGGGCCCCGCCTCCCCTCTGGCCAGAGGCCCAGATCCGGCCCGGGGCCGCGGCCGCTGGGGGCAGCCCCCGGAGCCAGGGTGGCTGCTCTGCACACACACCTCTTCCCCCGCGAGGGAGGCACCCACACTCGTCGAGTGGACTGCAGCGCGTGGGAAAGGTGAGAGAGAAGGAGAAGCGGAGGCTCGTGGGAGGACGTGTCGCACGGCCCTGAGGAAGTTCCGTGGGGCCTCCCTGAGGCCTCGGCGCTGGGACACGGGGAGCCGCGGGCCTCTCTCTGGCAGGTGCGACGCAACACGGGAGCCGGCATTCCCGGGTGGGAGGCGTCCAGGAACACTTCTGAGTGGTGGCTTCTGCAGAACGGAACCAGCCACAGCTGTCGGGGGCTGGGGCGGCTCCTCCCTGCGCCCCTTGGGTTGTCACTCGCCTTCGATGGGCTTTTGTCTTCAGGTTCCGCTGCGAACACGGGAACAAACACGGAGCCACAGGGCTTCCGTGTCGTGGTCGAGACAGTGCCACGGCTTGAAGGACAATGACAGGCAGGTGGAGGGGCGGGGGCCTGCGAACAGAGAGCGAGGACAAGGGGCGACTCAGCGCCGCAGAGCGAGCGTGGGGGTTGCCGGCGTGAGGCCGCTGCGGTGTCCGCCGACCCCTCTCCCCGGGCAGCATTCTCGTCAACCCGCTGCACCTACGTTCAACGTCCAGTGCGCAACCGAGTGGGGAGTCACACCGCGTGTGCTCCGCGTGTGTGACGAGATGAACTTACGGAGTCACGGGCGAACGCCCCACATCAGAACAGCGCTCCCCCGTCAGTGGGGAGGCTGTGGGGCGGACGACCGAGGGCCCGGCAGGGGCGCCTTGGGTGCGAGAGACATTTGCCCACCACCCTCCACGTCCTCTGACTGTGGTGCTTCCCTTCCTCTCACACGATGACGCCAGGGACCTGACGTTGTTTGAAAAGTGACAGAGACACATATATTCCTGCCTGGAGTGGCTGGCGTTACAGACACTGTTGAACAGAGAGCTCAGCCCAGCCCCTCGGTCCCGCGCCAGGGCAGGGGCACCTGTGTCTCGGGCTCGGGCCGCTCTAGTCACTCGCACGTCGCAGCTGACACACGGGACTGTGAGGTCACCAGGGCCAGCAGCTGGTCCTCACGCCTGTCCGTGCCAGTCCTGTCCCGCCTGCACCATCTCATTTCGTGGGCTGCGCCCCAGCAACAGGCGGACGTGGAGACGGCTTTGCAATTCCCGAGGGAACCGAGTTCAGAGTTTTGTACAGACGAGGTGCAGGTGAGATGCAGGGCTGGGCGTGCGAAGGTCGACCCCCACGCCACTCCAAGCTGTGACAGCAAAGTGGGGACCCGTGGAAGGTGTCACGGGTGTGGCACGTGCAAGAAACCGAGTGGAAAACGCAAAGGAGACTCACAGCAAACGACTGGTCGCTGCACACGTGTTCGCATGCTCAGAGTGACGCCGCTGGAGACGTCAGTGTGACGCGTGGGGGGGGTCTGTCTTTCAAATGACTGCACAGCTCCTTGCAGGAAAGCAGTTGTTTTGCAGGAAAACCAACTGTGGAGAAGGAAGGCCGTGGCCTTTCCTACAAGGCAGCTGAGACCAGGCGAGGGCAAGGCACGCCGACCTCGGGAAGCTGTGCTGCGTGTTGGGGGGCTCAGCCCCCCCCGCTGCCATTCGGTGGGTTTGGGCCACAGCCGGCACCCTGAGGCCGCAGCTTTCCGGTGGCGGCGCAGACGTGAGTGGTTATTGTTCTCGGGGCTCCTTGGCTTGCGACACATGTCCTCTGTCCTTGGGAGACTGGGTCTGGGCTCCAGAGAAACCCGTCTGCTGCTGGCAGCGGACTTGCGCTGGCCGTCCGCCGTGAAGGGCTCCTGCTGCCGGGGGAAGCCGGCCTACGGAACGAGGTTTGTGATACGACAGAGGTTCGGGAATTGGTTAGGAAAATTGCTCCTCCCCCCTGTTCCCTGCAGGGGGCGGTGGGTCTTACAGAGGGACAAAGGGTCCTTTCCAGGACTGTGGTGCTGGACGGTCCAGCACCCTTCTCCGCCCCCAGGGGTCAGGGTTCTGCAGACTCGGCCTCTTCCCGCCGAGCTGGGCTCCAGTGGCTGCATCTGTTCCGCCCCCTCACGGGGCCCAGGTAGGGCCTGAGCGTCCTGCCCGCTGAGCAGGCCGGGGTCCTCTGGCCACTCCGCACAGACCCCGGTGGCCATGAGGCTGCTCCGCCGGCCACGCCGGTTTCACACGAGCAGCTCACACGAGCAGCTGGGCACAGCCGACAAGGGCGGGAGAAGTGGCAGCCCTGCCAGGAAGACCTCAGCTCTGGGCCACTCACCATTTAGGCCTGGATTTGTTTTCAGATGTTCCCTTTTTGGCTTTTTCAGCCCAACCTCTGACCCCACCCAGGCTCTGGGCCCTTCGCTTCGGGGACATACTTCCCTTCAGCTGGGCGGCCGGGCCTCGCGCCACACTGCCGGGCACGAAGTTTGTTTCTACGCAGCCCTCCCCCCGTGCAGCCGCTGCCTCTTCCCGGAGCTCCCCGTCCCAGTGGGCACCTTCCTCACCGTGATCCCGCACGTCAGGGACAAGGCCAGGCGCAGTTCTGCCCGCGGCCGCCGAGACATCTGGAAGCTTCCGCTGGAGCCCGGAGGGATGGTGGGGATGGGGAATGAGCGTTCAGGACAGGCCCCTGTGGCGTGAGAGGGCCCCCCGTACCTGGGTGGAGGCGACCTGTGTCACCTGTGCTGCAGGTAAACCAGCAGGTGCGCTGCCCGGCGCACTGGGCTGCAGCTCTGCTTCCGGTGGGAGTTCCTGCTCCGCCACCACCCGGGGCCCGGTGTGGGGACACTCAGCCTCGGGCGCCGTGCGCTGTTCCTCTGGTTCTCGGTGGCCCCGTCTGTGGAGGGCAGGCAGGAGGCCAGGGGGCCCTCGGGGCCCTGCCTGGGGCCGACGCTCTGACTCACTGAACACAGCGTCCCGTGGAAACCACGTTTTGTTCAGGCTGCGCCTCCGCCGACAGCAAACGTCTCTCAGGCTTTTCCTCCAGCCCGAATCTTCTCGCTTCGGCAGTGAGTACACACCTGTCGTTCAAACACAAGCCTTTCCCCACGGCCGAGCTGGAAGACCTGAGGTAGTGCGAGCGGGGGGTGGGGGAGAAGCCTGGGGGTGTCCCCGGAGCACAGCGCTGGGGGACAGGCAGCCCCCGAGGGGGCAGGTGATGGCTCCACCCCACAGAGGGGCACGGGCAGGCCCATGCCGACGTCCGCACTTCCTGGGCTCAGGGCCACCGTCGGCACCTCCACCAGGTCGACGGTCATCAGTGACCAGGGCCTTGTCCTTCCTCTTTCCTGCCACCACCGCCCGCTCGCCTGGGCCCGCCCCTCCCTTTCCAGGTATCACCTGACCTCCCCCAGGCACACCTTGTCAACTTTGGCACTTTCAGTCCTAACTTGACTGAGCACATTGGAAAGAACACACCCCCCTCCCCAGGAAGGAAACGAATGAAGACGAAACATCTGGCCTCTTGGCTCTCTGTCTGCCGTGGGTCAGGCCGGTGCCGTCTCGCTGGTCCCCCCTGACCTGGCCTAACACCACCACTGGCTGTGGGGCCTCGGGCCGGGGCCCCTTCTCGCTCTGCCCCTCTCCTGAGCACCCCTTTCCTGACCGCCTCTCCCCACCCTTTCCCAGCCCTGTCCTCTGTGGCCAGACTCCCCGAGGGTCCTGCTGACTCACACCCTGGGGCAGCTGCAGGGCCCCGCACGTCCACTCCAAGAGGGGCCCTAGTCTCTTTCATCCATTTGAATCCATCAACTAGAGTGATCTTTTGAAAATACATAATTCGATGACGCCACCTAATTCCTTAAATTTTTAAATGATTTTTCCCATTAGCCTTGAGATTTAAAAAGTCCGTATTCTTTATCTGGCCCCAAGCCCTCACAGCCTGTGACCTGCCAGCGGCCCCCGTCTCCGCAGTCCTGTGTCTGAGCTCCCTGGCTCCCTGGGTTTTGGCTGCAGCGCAGTTTTCCATGTTTTCACGCATCAGTTTATTGTCCTCAGAAGGTTCTCACAGGTGCTCTTCCCCTTCCCGGAGCAGATTCCCTCCCTCCCTCCCTCCCTCCCCCCTGCCCCCGTGGTTGTCACTGAGAGAGGGGTGGGCCCAGGGGCCTCTTTCACGGCGCCGATGCCGATGCCGATGCCGATGCCGCGGGAACACGGGACGGAGGAAGGGGCTGCAGACGCCGACAGTGGGGCTGGCTGATGGGCCCAGAGGCTTGCGGGGACGGGAGTTTGGGCGAGGGCACAGGTGGAGGCTCGCCCGGCACGAGAGCCGAGAGCCGGCCGGTGTTTGGCCTCTGCCGAGGGGGAGGAGGAGCAGAGGGGGCGGGAAAGACCCCCCAAGAGTGCAGGGGTGAGGAAGACCCCCGCAGTGGGCAGGGCCACGGACCACGCGGGGCCTGAGCCACGCACTGACCGGCACGAGGTGTCTGAGAATCTCGCCTGAGATTTTTGTGGTACGACCCCTTTTTTTATGATCAGCCACAGCATCTTGTTGCTCTGGGCGGTAAATACACGTTGTTTTTGTTCTGAGGCTTGACGTTTGCACCCAGTGGCTGAAGGAGCCCTAGACACTGCCTTCCGCGACAGCTCCCGTGCTGAGACGCCGCGGAGAGGGGGACTTGGGGGCGCCCTGGGCCGGCCCTGGCCCCGGAGCAGCGGCCCCGCCCGCGCCCTGAGGGGCGTGGCCAGGCGGCCAGACGCCCCGCCCCCGCATCCTCTCGCCGCCGCCCTCCGACCCCGAGCGGAAAGGACACGCCTGCCCGCTGCCACCTCTCGTGACTACGGAGGTTTCCCGAAACGCAGGTGCTCTGCTGCCCAGCCGCTTCCTCGGCAGACGCGGACCTCGCTCCTCCACGCCAGGGAGGGAGAAGGCCCAGGACACGCCCGCCCGCGCGAGGCGGGGCCCCGCACGCCGCGGGGACCGGCTTGAGCCCCGGGACCCTTGCTCTCGGCTTCCCCGCCCCCCGGGGGGCCTCGTGGGGACGCCGTCGTCACAGCGCCCCCTTCCGGCCGCCTTCCTTCGGGCCCGAGTTTCAGGCCGCGCTTCTGCCCCCTGTCCCAGGCTGTGACGGCGGACAGTGGCGTAGGGGAAACTCCTCTCTGGAGCACAGACCACGCGTGGATGCCTCGCGTCCCTGCAGATTCTGATCCTGGCTGGAGACTCGGCGCCACTGAGGCCTCATCCGGAGCCTGGAATGTCCCCTTTCCGCCGCCTCTGCTCGGGGTCGCGCACCCCGCCCAGCGTGGGGTGTTGTTCCACACGAGCCCGTGGGCCGCGGAACCAGGTGGCTCCGGCTCCTCGTGGCTGACCAGCAGCAGGGCTGTTGAAGGGTTCAGTGCCCGAGTGTTCTGCTGGTTGGCTGATGGGACAGGAAGAGATGTTGGGGCAGGAATGAACTCCCACCTAACAGATTTGGATTTTAGGCTGTGAGTTCTCAGGCAACAGTCTGCAACTTACTTTTCCTTCTACAGACTCTGAATATGCAACATGAGCTGTTATAAAGAACTAGAAAAAAACACACAAAAAACCCACAAACTCATATGGGCCCTAGAATCCCGACTGCAGAATGCTGGGCGGAGTCAGAGGACTGGAAGCAGCCGTTTGTCAGCATCCGTGACAGCTCTCTCCGGAGTCCGTCTGAAAATGGGGACGGTCCCTCCTGCTCCGGCTGCGCCGTGGCCCGCGGCGTTTCACGGGAGGTGGCAGAACTTGCTCTGCCGGTGCGAGGGGTCAGGCGGCCTTGAAATAACTGGCACGGGCTCTCCTTCCCCGAGAGAGAGAGGCTGCTCTAAGTTAACGCACAAGCCGCTGTGTGTGCGTGCAACCAGGGCCGAGAGGGCAACAACCGCGTCGCCGTGCGACACACACACACAACCCCCACACGCAGGCGCACGCACGTGGCACTCAGCATAGGAGAGACCCCACGCAGAAGAGTGAGCCTGAGGCTGGGACTGGGTCTCTCGCTGCGCCGGATGAGGTGCTCAGGGGAGTCTCACGAGAACGACCCTGGGGTTTCAGGGAAGCCCCACAGCGGGGTGTGAGAGCCTCGTGAACTCTGAACTTCTGGACACCGTGGGCGCGGTCACTGAGCGCGAACCCCGTTCAGGCTCCAGGTGTCTCGGAGCGCCCGCGGTCCCCGGACGTCCCGGGCGCTTCCTCTGGGCCACGACGTGGGTCTGCTTCCTTCCCGGCGCTCCGCCTGGACATGCTGACCCGCCTCACTGTCCTAAACTGCGGTGGGGACGCTTTCCAGACCCCCCGAGGTGACCGCCGCGGACCTGCCTTCTGCTGCGGGCGGTTCACGTCGAGGGACGTGACGCGATAAACCCACCCAGAGCTGGTTTGCAAGCCCACGTCCCCGAGGAAGCTGCAGGACCCAGAACGGCAGGAACTACCAGAGGGAGGGCAGCTGGAGCATGGGCACTGGTTCACGCGCATTTTAGACGCATCAGGGAAGGGTACAGGTTGAATACTGAGAGGATTAACACAATTATAATGATAACAGATGCCGCCCACTGGGTGCTCCCCATGCAATACCGGCCTTGAATGGTGTTCCCCACCCTTTATCTCCACTGTCAGCCTTGAGCAGAGAGGGACCTGGGATGTGGCCCAGCCAGGCCAGCGGCTCCGGCACCGGTTCCTGAGCCTCACGGAGCTGCCTGCACAGGCCTCGCCTCTCTTTGCTGGAGGTTCGAGCTTACACTGCTGCAGGTGTGCCTTCGCTAGCAAACCTTCCTGCAGGGAGAAGGCCGGGGTGCGGGGTGGGCAGGGTTCCGGCAGCAAGGGGCCCGGTGGCTTTCCCGGGGAGCCCACGAAAACACCCTGTGAGCAGGGCTGGCGTGAGGTGAGCCCCCGGTGTGACGCACCTTGTGACCTTCAAGTCGGGACTGTTCCCTCCGCCCAGGCCAACAACACCCACAGGTGAGTCATGCTTCCTTCTGCCCCTACCTGCCCGCTGAGCTTGTTGACATTGGCTCCGTCTGTCTGCTCACCTGTGAAACAGCACTAGGTGTGCAGCCTTGAAAGGCACATGGGCTGCACGCAGGTATTCGGAATGTGCACATCTGGGCCCTTTTTTTTTTTTACTATTGCTGAAAAAATCACAAACCCAAAGATGTGTGACACATTCTAAAGAAGTCCTCTCTTTCCTAACTCTGGTCATTCCCCACGTACTTAATGGTGAACAGGTGGCCCCCCCAAGGATCACAGTTCTGCCCCACTTGGCCATAGGGACCTGGAAGGTCCCCGCATTCTCCAGCCTTGGGGTCCGTGACTCACCTGAGGCGGCTGCACTTTGGGGTCGCATGGGCCACCCCCAGTTTAGTGGCTTAGCTCCCGGACGCCGGTCAGCACCGCCCTGGGCTCTGCTGGCTCAGCTTGCGTGCTCTCCCCGACCCCCTCTTTACCCGAGTCGTCTTCTGTGACGTGAGCAGCATGAAGAGAACCACGCGAGCCTTTCCTGCCACGCAAACGTTTGCTGCTCTGAGATTTCTCGGCGTGGGAGATGTTGGGGCCGCACGGTCACCCCGAGGCAGCCCGACCTGCCTGAGCCACTCAGCAGATGGCAGGCGGGCACTGAGCAGTTGGGGGTGGTGTCCTGCACCTGGGTCCTGCTTGGGCTTTGGCGCTGAATCTGTGTGTGCACTTGAGGAGGTAGTAAGTCCTTTCCACATTCCGGCTGGCTTCTGCTTCTTGAAGAGCCCCTGGTGCAGACAGTGAGGGCAGCCTTTGCAGCCAGGCGGACGTGGGTTCAAACCCTTATCTCTCCAGCGGAGTAGTTCTTTGACTGAGGCAAGTACTCAGTCTCTCCACACCTCAGCCTCTCCTACAGACCATGCTGGTCCTCGCCGGCTGTCATGAGGGTCACCGGGAGTAGCCAACGCAAAGCCCTTGGCGCAGTCCTGCTGCTGAGGCCGCAGCCCCTCCAGTGGGGAGCTCCCTCCCGGAGCTGGTCCCCCCAGGTGCAGGGGACGTCGGCTCTCAGGGCTTCCCGCCTTCCCCTCCCTGTCTGCAGGGGCAGGGGGCTTCCCGGGACAGGGGACCCAGTGCTGACCCTGGGGAGTCTCGGGCAAACAGGGTCAGCTGACCGCCCTGCTCACGTGCACCTGCCAGGCCGTCTCAGAGCAAGCCCCGGACAGGCGAGCAGGGGCTGCCAGAAGGGGCAGCACAGGGCGGTGTGGGCCTGGGCCTTGAGTTCCTCCTGGGAGGTGGGAGGGCGGGAACACGTGGTTCTTACAACTTTATTTCCATTGAGGTGGAGCTGACGGGCAGTGTTACGCCAGTCTCAGATGTACAGCGTAGTGACGTGACATTTACCTGCCTCAGGACGCAGTCTCCAGGACAAGCCCGGTAATCACCTGTCACCGTGCCGCATACGGTGGCAACGGTCTGTGCTGCACATGACACCCCGTGACTTCTGGGGCTGGGCGTGCGTACCCCTTGGTCCCCTCCACCCCGGGACACCCCTCTAGCGGCCACCAATCTGTTCCCTGCGAGTCTGTTTCTGTTTTGTTTCTTGTTTTTCAGACTCCACACACAAGTGAGACACCAGGTGGTACTTGTCTTTCTCGGACCCACTGCGCTCAGCACGATGCCCTCGGTGTCCATCCGTGGTGTCACAAATGGCGGGATTTCATTCTTTCGTGGCCAAGTGACATGTCACTGTGCATGTACACTGTGCCACCTCTTCTGCACCCACTTGTCTGCTGCCGACAGGCGTCCGGCCGCTTCCGGGCCTCGGCTGAGTCACGTGGCGCTGCAGTCAGCACAGGGGCGCACTGCTCCCCAAACCAGTGTTCTCATCTGCTTTGGAGAAAAACCCAGAAGTGAAGTCACTGGCTGGTAAGGCAGTTCCATTTTCAATGTTTTGTGGAATCTCCAGACTTGGTTTCCACAGGGCCTGCCCCAGTCTGTGTCCCACCGACACGCACGGAGACAGGGTCCCCTTTCTCCACGTCCTCGCCAGCACTTGCCGTGTGTTAATTTATTGATGGTGGCCATTCTGACAGGTGTGAGGCGCTGCCTCGTTGTGGCTGTAATTTGCATTTCTCTGACAATTAGTGACATTGAGCATCTTCTCAGGTGTCTGCTGGTCCTCTTTGGAAAAATGTCTGTGAGGGTCCCTTGCTCATTTTTAATTGGACCGCTTGGTTTCACTTTTTGATGTTGAGTTGTGTATGTTCTTCGTATGTTTTAGGTATTAAAGCCCTTATTGGACGCACCTTTGGTGAATACCTCCGGTCATGCAGCGGGTTGGGGGGTCCTCCTCTGTGAAAAGGTTTTTAGTTTGACATGGTCCCACTTGCTTGTGTTTTCCTGTCTCGCCCTTGCCCAGGGAGACGCCTCCAGGAACACAGGGCCGGGACCAGTGCCAAGGAGTTTGCTGCCCATGTTTTCTTCTAGGAGTTTTATGTTTCAGGTCTTACCCCTAAGTCTTTACCCCATTTCGAGCTTATTTTTGTTTTTGGTGTGGGAAAGTGGCTGCTTCATTCTTAACATGCACCTGCCCCGGTTTTCCCAACGCCGTGCGCCAGCGAGATTTCTGTCTTTGCCCCATCGTGCGCCCCTGCTGTCTTGTCCTGGATGAACTGGCCGCGTGGGTGTGGCCTTATTTCTGGGCCCCGTTCTGTTCCATGCGTCCGCACGTGCTCTTTGGTGCCAGTGTCCTCCTGCTGGGCTACGGCAGCTTTTCCGCCCAGTCTGCAACCTGGGAGTGGGGCAGCGCGGGCTTCGGGCTTCCGCTCAGGATCGCTGCGGCTGCGCGGGCGCTTTGGGGGCACCATGCGGTGCAGTGCAGTAACTTCCAGCTCGTGGTCCCTGGACGAGGGGGGGGTGTGTGCCCGTCTCAGCAGGGGGCCGCGTGGACGCGCTCTCTCTGGAGCCTCAGACACGCCTGCAGGGCGACGCCGAGCGAGAACACCTGGGGTGCACACCCCCTCCCCCGCACTCCGGATGCCGTGACCCAGACTTGCTGCACGGCTCAGGAGACCACGGTCCTCGCGTCCTGGTGATCGGCCTGGCTGGTCCCCGCCCGAGCCCTGCCGCCCGCCTCCCTGGGCGTGTCCTCGAGTCCCCACGTCTTTGCTGCATCGACTTGGTGCGCTTCCCCAGCTTCGAAAGTGGACTCACGGAACCACGGGGGACGCACAGTCCCTCCCAACGACGACCTCCTGACCAGATGCGGACCGAGTCCTGAGGCGTCGCGTGGACATGTCCTGCTTCTCACTGATTGGGCCCGAAGCTCCACACCGCCGAGGAGCAGGGCCTCCGGGGCCGCAGTGGAGCAAACCTCCAGGGAAGAGAACGTGCCGTTTAGAGTTCACACCGCTCCCCGCCCGCCGCCCGCCGCTCGACTCTTCCCACGCATTTCGGGTTTGGGCTGCGTTTCTGGTTCAGGCCGCCCGGCCGCCCGCATCTGTCATCTGTTTGCTGCTCCATCGACTGTTCGTTACTCGTCCCCCACCCCCACCCTCATGCATATCTGGCCTCCGAGGGGCTGAGCCCGTGCCGGCAGGGAGCTTGGGGACGCCCAGCAGTGTCCTCGGCTCCGTGGTGAACGCACGTGGGCGAGTTCTGCTCGTGGTCACCGGTGGCTTATCCCAGGTCAAGGTCACGACAGCTCAGGGGCACGGCTGCTGCGGCGACACTGGCTGCACTGCAGGGTGTGGGCTCGGCAGGTGCTGGGCCTCCCTGTCCGGGCCCTTGGCCGACACACACTCAGACCGAGCAACCCGCAGGTTCCGTTGCCGCCGCGGCCCAGCCCCCCGGCTGCTCCTGCGTCCCAGGCTCTCCCTCTCCAAGGACACCGACACTCTATTTTGAGTTAAGGATGAGTAGTTGTTAACGGGTTGACGCGCCCTCCCCCTCAGAAAGCACTTCATTCCAACCACAGTCTTCGAGGAGACAACACGGAGGTGACAGTCAGCGGCAGAGCTGGAGGCCCGGGCAGCGAGCGCGGAGAACCCCGGGCAGCCGCCCGTTCCGGGGTTCCTGTGTCGCTTCCCTGCGCTGCCCGCTGCTGCCCACGCCCTGGCTGCAGGAGGACTCGCTCTCTGACCCGGCGTTTCCGACCGGGAACACACGGAGACTCTGCGAGATCCGTTTATTTCCCTGCTGCGCACGCAAGCAGAGTTCACGCACGAAACCACCGGGCATCATCTCATCGCTTCCCGTTTTACTGGATTTGCAGAAACAGCAACTGAAGGGTGAGAACCGGTTCACGTGAAGGCAGAGCAGACAACGGCCCTCAGACTCTGCGGTGGCCCCACACGGTGAGACCGGAGCGTCCACGGCCCCCCGGCACCGGGCCCTGGTCACTGTGGGCGTGAGGAGGGGTGTCCTCATTCTCCCGGGGAATGCCTGTCTCTGGACTCGGGTGGAGCCACGGGCGTAAGCGCCTGCAGGGCTCAAACGCACCCGGTCAGCGAGGTCAGGGTCCAGGCTGGCAGGCCAGAGGTCCCCGCCCCGTCGCACCCGCTCCAAGCCCCGCGGGCACCGAGCGCGAACTCCACTGCTCAGTGAGGTGACGGCAGGCTAGTGGCCGCGCTGGCTCTCACGCCTCTGTGCTGGCTCTGCGATGAGGTCCTCAACAACACCCGGGGGAGGGAGTCTCTCCACACCGGGGACTGATGATGACACATCAGTGACAGACAAACACCGTCCCAAATACTCGAAACTGGTTTTACTGCACCCCACCTCCCGGAAGACTCAGAGCGGCGACTTCCAACCTTCTTCATCTCACGGCGCACACAAACTAGTTCCTAAAGTTCTGCGACGCAGCAAAAAATACGTGTTGCGGCCCATCTGACCAAAAACAGGTGTGATTTTCACTCTTCCCACCAGAGTGACAACCACAGCTGTGGTTGTGTCGGCTGCTGTCGTTCTTTACTCGACGCTCTAAGGAACAAGAGGTCAGTGCCCCCCACTGAACAGCCAGGCGTCGCACGTTTGGAAAATCCCTGCGGCTCACCAACACCGCGGTGGGGCCCAGGCACGTGACGCACCGATGTGGCTGCTCCCCTCGCTCACACGGATGTCCTGAGGGGTGACATCAGGAAGACGGGAGAAAGTATAATAGGCAGACACTCGCTCCGATGGTGTTCACACTGTTCAAATGCACAAATTTATGTCAATAAATGATACAATACTTTGTTTCTTTAACACACATGCCCCGTATTGCACTTCTGTTGCAAGTAAGCATGTAGCGGAAACTCTGCTTAGAAACCGCAGTAAGAATCACCAGCTGCGTCCACACTGGGCGCTGGCCCGCTGGCCCGCTGGCCCAGGGCAGCGTCTCACAAAGCGTCTTTTCATTCCCGCGCCCGGGACCCCGGCGAAAACTACGTGAGCGCGCGCGCAGCAGGGAGGCTCCCCCTGGGCGGGGCCTTGCTCCTGGGCGCCCCCCGCGGTTCGGCGCGCTGGCTGGCGTGCTGCCAGGCTGTGCTCCGTGCTTTTCCACTCCTGTCTCCTTCTCACTGTGTTACTTACTGCGCTACTTTTCAAAAAAGCAGAAAAGCAATTACAAGCTTTTCCATTCAGCCTGAGCTGCACGGTTAGATTTTCTCCAAGTCCCTCGGCAAATTGGGACGCCTCAGGGCCGGGAAAGCGCTTGTCCTCCCCAGCACACCCTGCGCCCCAGCCCGCACTCGCCTCCGACGGCGACTCCGGAATCCACTTGAGGGACTCATCCCTCCCGTGCCCCACGCAAGCACAAGCACTTCTGGGAGGTCTTGGTGACTAAACCAAGGCTTGGAAAAACATTTTTCATCTATTAGATGGGTGGTGAGTCAGCACCATTTTGACGTGAGATAATTTTGACCTAAGTTTCCGTTCCTCCTGTTCTGAGTGTGGGAAGCCACGCAACAATTTCACCTAAAGCGCTCACCTGCAAAACCAACGCAACACCTGCGAAGAAACAAGCTGGGTGCAGGAGAAGGTCCTGTGAAGGTCCCCTCATCCTCGACATCATCGTTTTTAATGAAGTGCCACCCAGGGAGCTGCAGCATTTTCAGAGGGGCGCCGGGGGTGGGGGTGGGGGGTGCAACCTTAGGGCAGGGAACTGCCGTCCCCCCAGGGACCCCCGCGAGAAAGGCCCGCCCACCAGCCGAGGGGACCTCCCCAGGTGCAGACTGCACGGCCCTCACCCTGCACAGAGGCTCCGCCCCCAGTCCAAGGCCGGAAGGCAACTAAACAACAACTACAAGAAGACAGCTGGGAGAAAGTGCAGAAAGTGAGAAAGGGGAAAGTGATTTAAAATCATTCTGCTGAAACTAAAATTATATGAAGTGAATAAAAACCATTTCAAGACTAATAACTGTGTGAAAATAAATATTTAAGTAACTCAAAGACCTACTTTCATAGTAAAACTTACAAAACCAGAATTCAACATTAAAAACATACACAAATATAACAAAATGAGTTGGTTCAAAAATATTTTACCATTGAGAAACGCATTTCTCTCCTGCCCATATTCTTCCCTCTAATAAATTTGCTCAGGAGGAGATGTGTTTTGATAAAACCCAGAGTCTGGCGGCACTGGGCGGGTGACAGTCTCTCTGGGGTGGCCCGCGGCGACAGACACTCTCGCCCAAGGCTCTGACCCGAAGGCTGGTGCCTCCCTCTGTGTGCCCGGACGGCTCGGTCGGACCCCGGGGACTCCTTATCTGCAAGCACCTGCCCTCCCCTGCAACACGCCCTTTGCCCGCAGGGTGCCCGGCACCGCCTCGGAGGGAGGGCTGGGTGACATGCGCAGGGCAGGCCGGTGCCCTGGAGCCAGGGCCCCCGCCCCTTCTCGGAGCTTCCAGACAGCCGTGGACAGACAGACGCTGCTGAGGGCACTGATGGAGCTCCTGCCGCCTCTCAAAAAACTGCCCAGGTACCAGCAAAGTGTTTTTAGCAGCATCTCAACTCCCGTCTTTTCCCAGTTTTTGCACGGTCTGCCGCCCAATGGGAGTGGCATTAGTGGAAGGCCGGGCAGCTCTCCAGTGATTTTGAAAGTGCTGTGTCACCCCAGGGCCTGGTTGGCGGCGGTGACGCCGAGGAGTGTCTGTGTGCGTGCCCAGCACCACACCTCCTCGTGGGTCCAGAACGCCAATGTGATGGTGCCGATGGCCCAAGATGACTGAAGGCAGTAAACACCACGGCATGCTTGGTTCTCCTGCTCTTTGCCTTTCTTCCTTTTAAAAATTAATCTCGATACGGTTAAAATGCATCCTGGTGCCTCTTTGTAAACCAGGCAAAACGATGCCCCTGAACATATCCCTCCCCCACCCCCACTGTCCTGTCCACTGCCCGCCGGAGGCCGGGGCGGGGCCACCCCAACAAGGAAGCACCTCCTGGAGCTTCGGCTGGGCGGTGGCTGCAATCACCCAGTTAATTCTCGGTTTCTCAGCTCCAGACTTTCTGAAGTTACTCCAGCTCCTGCAGTGGGTTCCTTGTGGTCACCAGGGTGTGCTGGACAAAGCCTGCGGCAGGCAGTGTGGTCCTGGGGTCTCCGATCATCTGGGACATGCTTCAGGGGTCCCTGCTGTTGGAAAGGCTCGATCCTGAGGGGTAAGGAAAAGCCGTGAGTCAACACCAGTCCCGGCAAAAGTCGTAAGCCCAGCATTATACTTCCAAGCCTGCCCCCTGCAGTCTTTGGCTTTGTGATGTTGTGTGCGCCCTAAATCTGGAAAAGAAGTTGGCTGCCTTTCATTTTTATTTCCCTCCAACTCCTCACAGGCAGTAGACAATTTCTCTGACTGTTGGTGAAGCCAGCGCTGACCTCCACTGAGCTGCCAGCGGAGCAGAACACAGGCAGGCAGTCCGGGTACCCAGGTGCAGGCAAACGCACCCACAGGTGTGTCTAAGAGGGCCCAGGTACGACCTGAGGACAGAGCACGGCACCTCACGGCACCTCACGGCACTCGGCCCCACGCACCTGCAGTGCTCTCTGAGTCAGGGGCCCGCAGCCTCCAGCCTCCGCTGGTCAGGAAGGAGGGGCCTCGGCGTGTCTGCTGCTCCCCAGGGCATCTCCGCCCAAGGTGAGACCAGCTCTGTCCGTCCCCTCAGCGGAGACCCCACGGGGACCCTTTCCTATCAAAGGGCAAGGCGAAGAGAGCTGTGGGACATCTGAGACTTTTGCCTTAAAATTAAACAGTGTTTACCCCTAACTAACCCACAGGACAAGTTACCACTCTTTTATAACAATATTAAAGTCAGCAACATCTATTCCACCCCAAAGCCCGAAAACCACAGACCTAATCTGGGCAGGCCCGCCGTCCTGGTGACTGGAAGGACAGGAAGATGAGTAACCGCCAGCAGACGGGAGCGGCGCTCAGCACCCAGACGCTGGGAGTGGGACGCGGAGCCAGCACCACCCACGTGGCAGCGCCTGCTCCTCATGGTCCCCGCAGGCAGGCTCGGGGGCGCGCTCCATGAGCCCTTCTCGGGCTCTGAACTCTCGGCTTGAAAAGCAAATGTGTTCACTCCATGGGGACAATAAACTGATTAACTTGTCACTTACTTCCAGGTGGTATATTTTTCCTTTATTTTTTAAAATTTATTTTTAGAGAGGGGAAGGGAGGGAGACAGAGAGGGTGAGAAACATCGATGGGGGTTGCCTCTCACACGCCCCCCACTGGGGACCTGGCCCACAACCCAGGCCTGTGTCCTGACTGGGAATCGAACTGGCGACCCTTTGGTTTACAGGCTGGCATTCAGTCAACTGAGCCAGGGCTATATTTTCATTTTAATTGATAATACCTACCAATAGGACATAAACCTCCATATAAGATACACATTTTCTTTTTCACTTAGAAAGCATATCTTTGTTCATCTCAGGTTTTCTGAATTTTTCATGAAATCCTCAAGTGAAGCTGCATGATTTTCCACACAAATGTCCTGATACGCTAGAAGGAAATCACAGCTTTCACTGCTCCTTCCTCAGCATCCAGAGGTAACGAACGAAAGCAGTCCCAGACCAGCGACCCCCTGAGGAGGGGGCAGCTGCTAACGACCCCCAGGAGAAAGGGGAAGGGTGCCCTGCTGCACGCCAGGGTCCCGCTGGCTCTTCCTCAGGCCACAGGCGTCAGCCGAGGGGCTGTGATCAGAAGCAGACCCGTCTCCGTCTCCGCTCCAGGTCTCCTCCCCACCCTCCGAGCAGACAGACACTAGGTCTCCTGGGCCGAAGTTTCCGGGATCTCACACCCTGTTTGGGGTCTAGGAGAGTAAGCTTGTGAAGTAAATATTTACAGAGCTGGTGGCCGCTGGGGGCACAGCCCAGGGGGCGGGTCAGTCTCCCTTCTGAGCAACAGTGTGGCACAGCTGAGGAGGCAGGCAGCACTGCCTGCCTCGGACAGACAGGGCTAAGGGCGGGGGGGAGGGTGGCCCACCCACTGGAGCACTTTGCTGTGTCTGCCCCTCCCCCCCTCCCCCCACTGCTCCTCCTGGTCATGGGCAGTTCTCAGGGGCCAAGCCAACTTCGCCCACTCTCCCTTCGCTCAACCCTGGACGGGCCTTGGAAAAGGCACTGCATCGACCGCACCCCAGATTCTCTTCAGGACACTGCTCGACACTGCGGGCCCGGGGGTGGGGGTGGGGGTGGGGGGTCTGGGTGCAGAGGGGTGGGAGGGAGGGGAAGACTTTCACTTCCTGTCGTTGAGTTCTACTTCGGTCTGTTTGTGCATCACCTTGTCACTGCCCAGCCACGAACCCTGCTGCTGCCTGTGCACGAAGCTCTGGCGGCCTGGAGGACACTAACTTATAAATCCACATTTCATGTTCTCCAACAGACAGCGGTTTTCCTTGTTTGTCTTTTCTGGGCTCCAATCAGGAAGTGGGGACACGCGGGTCGCCGCCTGCACAGAAGCACCGCGTGCGGAGCTGGGGACCATCTGCCTTCACCCTGTGGCCACTGGACGCGGTCAGCGCAGGCGGGGACTGACACAGCACAGCCCCCACGTCCAGTTCAGGGCCGGACGCCCTGGCCCGGGCCCCCTGGGGCCCAGTGGAGCCGCTACAACTTCCGTCCTCCACACCCAGACATTCGTGACGCCTGCGTCCCAGCTCAAAAAGTCAGCCTGTGAAAGGCCCAAGTGAATCTCCTTCATGTTAAAATTTTAACTGCCTGTTTACATTCTTTGGGGGCTTACGCTGGTGGAAAATAAAATCCAATAAACTATAAGGCCCCACTTCCGCCGCGATCCTTCCGAGTCCAAAACAAGCAACGAACGCATCTCTGCCCTTTCACTCTCACGCCCGCACCGCGGCTGAGGCGTCCCTGCGTCCTCACCCGCAGGTGACAGGTGGCCACGCACACGGGCACCTCCCCCGCCGCGCCAAAAACTGACGCTGTCTTCAATGCGCTTATCTCAAGGGCAGACAAAATTACTGCCACCACGTGATTTTCTAAAAAATCTGCATCGCTGTCATTGAAGGGCAGGAGAAGAAAAGAGGCTGTAGGTTTAAATTCTTGGTTCCCTTAAGAGAACCGTGAAGAAGTAGGGCCTGCTCTCCCTTCCCTGTCCCCGGAGCACCCACCCCGCTGGCGCCTGGAAGGAGGGGCGCACGCGGGAGCGAGAATCTGGTTCCTTAGCTCGCGCGTGAAGACCTCGAGGCCGGCCCTGTGCTGCTGGTGTCCAGGGGCAAGAGGCGCACCTCCTGCGTCGTCATCGGAGCCACGTGGGTCGGACCCCAGCGACCAGACGGCCCAGCGCGCAGTCAGCACGGAAGCTCCTTCTCGGGAACTACGCGGCCCCCGCGGGCGCCGCTTAGAAAGCTCTGGAACAATTAAAACTACGTCGAGCCAAGCGGAGGGCTTTCCAGCCACACGAATGCCCCAGTGCTGCCCAGACGCTGCAGACGCCCCCCCTCCCCCCCAGCAGCGTGCCCTTCTGTGGGCAGGGGAGATGGCGGCGGCCCGGGCTGGGGGCGGGGGGCGGGGCACAGACAGCTCTACCCAAACCAGTGATATCGGAGGGTGAAGCTGCTTTCTGACAGCTCTGTACAATTCCCAGTTTCCTTCTTCTCATGGTACTGCACCAGCTGGGATGGTGTTAGCGTGCCGCTCCAGGCAGTCAGAAGTGGCACATTCAAGAGAAAGGGCGCTTGGCCCGTGGGGACCTGGACTGTCACGGGCGGCACTCTGCGTCTCAATCTCTAGGGTCCCTTCCAACCTCAGAGGCCTGGCCGACCCGCGCGGAGCCCTCCCAGACGCGCGCACAGACACCCCGGCTCACCCTTGGGTCCCGAGCTCCGGGCGCAGCGGTCACGCCAGGCCCTGCAGCCGCGGGCCCAGGGTCTCCTTGGCCTTCTTACAGGTGTACAGCCACTTGATGATGCGGGCGTTCCTCTCCACGACCGAGGTGGAGCTGGGCAGCTGCTCCATCAGCTCCTCCTCCTGCAGCCCCTCGTCGCTGCCGCTGTGCCGGGAGAAGCCGCTGTCGGAGGTGGCCATGCTCACGCTGCGAATCTTTAGGGCGAGGCGGTCCGAGCCCGCGGAGAAGTTCTCCCTCCCGAGCGCCTCCACCACCTCGGGCTCCAGGCCGCAGAACTGGAAGAAGTTGTCGAATTCCGCCGCGGACATGGAGTAGCGGGAGCTGAGGTCTGACTGCGAGCGCTGCAGCCCCCTGCGCCTGGTCACTCGCGGCTCTGGGCTGCCGGGCCCGGCCGGACCCCTGTGGCGCACTGGAGGCACGGGGGTCGCTGCCGGGACGCTGGGACGCTCTGGGGGCGCCGGGGTCGCTGCCGGGACGCTGGGACGCGCTGGGGGCGCCGGAGCCGCTGCCGGGACGCTGGGACGCGCTGGGGGCGCCGGGGCCGCTGCCGGGACGCTGGGACGCGCTGGGGGCGCCGGGGCCGCTGCCGGGACGCTGGGACGCGCTGGGGGCGCCGGGGTCGCTGCCGGGACGCTGGGACGCGCTGGGGGCTCCGGGGCCGCTGCCGGGACGCTGGGACGCGCTGGGGGCGCCGGGGCCGCTGCCGGGACGCTGGGACGCGCTGGGGGCGCCGGGGTCGCTGCCGGGACGCATGGGCGCGCCGTGGTTGCTGCTGCGACGCAGGGGCGCTCGGGGGGACCAGGGGCCACTGCGGGGTTGGGCTTGGTTGGAGCCGCCTCCTCTCCCCTGGCCATGGCCTCTCCTCCCGCCGCGGACTTCTCGGGGGGCGCCGACGTCTTCTCCTTGCCTGACCCGGGCAGGAGCTTTCTCACCAGGCCGCCCCCGAAGCTGTCGGTGCTCGGCCCGCGCACGAACTCGCACTTCTGCCGGTACATGACCAGCGAATCCGGCCTCAGCGGCTTCCGCGCTATTGTCCTGCGTGCCACGGCACCAGGGGCGCAAGCCGGGGGCCGAGGGTCGACCACCGGCCCTTCACCGGTCCCAGGGCTGCTGCCCTCGGGAGCAGGATCCCCGGCTGCCCCCGGCAGGCCTCGGACGTACTTGGCGCGGTCAGCGGCCAGCCTCTCCACCGCGCTCCTGCGCGCCGGCACCGCCGCGTCCGATCGCCGCGGCAGAAGCCGCTCCATCCGGGGCGCGTCCAGGCTGGGCAGCGCGTGCATTCTCGCTGGCAGAGCTGCTGGGGCTCCGGCCCCGCGGAAAACCGCCCGGTGTGGCGCCAGGTGCGGCGCCCGGCAGTCCAGGATCAATTCCGAAGTCCGCCCAGGGTGGGGACCGGCTCCCCGAGTCCGCTAGCCCAGGAACCGACGCTGGGGAACACAGGTCCGCGCCGACTGGAGAGCCGCGACTCCTCCCTACGGGTTCTCGCCCGCTCCCCGGCGCTTTGAGAGGTTCAGCCTGGCCCCTCACCTCCCACAGGCTTCGCCCCCGCCCCCTCCCGCCCCCTCACCCGAGCCCCGCACCTCGCCTTACTCACTGCCCCGCCCCTGACCTCCTGCCAGCCTGCTGCGCCCGCCTCTCCCTTCACCTGGCTCCGCCCCTCACCGCCCACCTGTGCTCCGGGCGCTGGGAGGGCCCGGCAGCCGCGTCCCCGTGTCCCCTCTGCACCAAGGACCGGGAAGAGCCGAGTTCGTTCAGCCCCAGGCGTCAGCGGCCTCCTCCTTGCCCGGGGAGGGCCGTGGGTCACCGCCGCAGGCTGGCACTTCCGGAGTGGGGGAGGGCGGAAGGAAAGGGCACTCCACCCCACCCCGGCAGGTGTCCCGTGTCCTTTGACTTGTTAAAGTGACCTCAACACGTTTGGAAGCTTCGGTTTTCTGTCTCTACCTGAGCACAGATCTTTACCACCAGGAAGTAAACGGACATAAAGGACAGAGCGCGCGTGGCAGGAGAGAGTCCGGGTGTTGGTAGAAGAGGCCACGACCCACGGGGCCGGGATCAGGTCCAGGCTCAGGTACCCGCGCGGCCTGGACCCGGACCTGGACCCGGACCCGGACCCGGGCACCAGGTGCGGGGACTCAGAGGGCAGCCGGGGGCAAGGCTCCTCGGATTTGGGTGAGGCCTGACCTAAGGCCCAGAAAAACGGCTGTTTTTGCTGTAACCAAGGCAACACATACACCACGGGCTCACAAGGCACTGAGCCAGCCTAGGAATGCTGAAAGGGTACGAGACAGTGTTTCCGAAATTGCATTATCTCCCAAAGCTGGACAGAGAGCTAAAAATACCTGCCAGAGTGCAGCGTCTGTGCGTCTGCCGTGCTAAGGCCCACTGCAAGGCTCGCAGACCTGGGAGCTGCCGTTGGCTGCCCCTCCTGAGGGCAGCCGGCAGAAAGGTGCCCTAGGTCTGGGACCCATGTTCCAGAAAAGCACCCAAGCACCTGCGGGCCCCAGAGGGCTGCTGGTGACTCAGCAGGTGCAGCAGGTGTGGCTCACTGTGCCAGCCCACCTCCAGCCCCCTCCAATCAGATGGTGGCAGGTTTGTGCCAGGTGGGCCTCTAGACCTTAGTCTCTGTGAGGCCAAATCCCATAAAGAGGGAGCCAGGTCCCCTGAGAACCAGAGGGCCCCAGGACCTTCAGGTAGACAGCAAAGGCCACGCATACACAGGGGTGGGCAAAAGGGGGTTCACAGTCGTGTGTGGAAACTACTCATAATACAGTAGTTAGTGACACAGAATGAACTGTGTTACACGCACTCACAGCCGTAAACCTACCTCTGCCCACCCCTGCACAAACCTGGCGAGGGGCTGCGGGGAGAGGGGGGAGGGGAGACGCACTCCTGGGTGGGACACACCGCCTCCCACAGGGGGCTCCCGGGGAGGGGGCGCCCGGTGGGGCCGGGCCCAGGCTGTCTCCTTAGTCAGAGGGGAGCAACACTGTGTCGGGTCGTTTTGCCCAAAGTGTCTCCTTTTCGGATTTGCCCGTCTCGTGTGTGAGCGCAGCGGTTCTGACAGAGGGACCCCTGGCTTCGGGTCCCTGGACTGTGTCTGAGCCTGGCTCTGCCGTCCGCAAGTTCCGTTCTTCCGGACACGGAACGCACCTCTCGGGGTCTGCGTGTTCTCACCTGTCAAACTCCGAGTTTTTACAGCTCAGAACAGCCATTGCCCAGAGACAAAACAGCGAGCGGGGCCCTAAGTGCTGATGCAGGACGGTCCCGAGTGCCGTTGGAAAACTGTGCGCCGGCCCCGGCCGGCGTGGCTCAGCGGGCTGGACGTGGGCCCACAAATGGAAAGGCCGGTTGACTCCCCCGCGGGCAGGGCCTGGGCTGCTGGCCGGTCCCGGGTGGGGGCCTGCTGGGAGCGGGTGAGAGGCCCTCCCCACGTTCCCCTTCCCTTCCCCCTCTCTAAAGATAAATAAAAAGATCACGTAAGTCCCTCAGGATGAGAAACTTCAGTTTTCCATATTTGAATCCCTAACAACTAGCCACGAATCTGCACTTCGTAGATTTGTTTGGTGTTTTCTGGATCAATTATGACATCTCTGATTTCCAGCTATTTCTTTAAAGCAAACATTAAAATTCATCTCTCAGATTTTTATTATAACAACATGTTTTTATGTCTTATTTTCACTCCATAATCAGAAGTTTAATTACATTGTCATATTTTTGTTTGCAAAACTTAAAATTTGTTTTCACATATGGATAACAGCATATCCCTGAATCTAATGTGAAAGCAAAGTATAAAGTTTTACTTTCAAAATTATTAAGTTCCAATCTTTGATGCGTGAATTTTTTGCCTCCTTTTACTCCAGCAGGAGAATTTGAAAAATGATATTATTACCAAATGGCTTTGTTGTTTTTTAGTTATAATAATCCAGATCTATGATGTCAGAGTAATACTAACGAAGAATGAATTCAAAATTTATTACAGTAAATTGCATAAACATGAAAATGTTTTTTTCAGCTGAGTTGGTGAAAGAAAATATACATTATTTTCTCCATCAAAGCCCACTTCCATTTTCAGCAGAATCCTTGCACCGACGTGTCTCTCTCTTCCTGCTGACCCGTGCCGGGGGGCCGACTGCGGGACGGTGGTCTCCGGCACGGTGCGAGTCCCTCCCCGTTGTTCTGACGTAGTTACTGATCCCCGTTCTCTTGACAGAGCACCTCGTCGGGATGACGACCTGTAGAGTCACCTGGTCGCACGCAGGTCTGACCACCTGTGGGACTTCGCGCCGGGGAATTGCGTTCTCCTGTGCCCGGGGTCCGCCTTTCAGAGTGAAGGGGCTGAGGGAGGTGAGCCCTCACCCCCCGCCTGTGGAGGGAGCGCGGCTGGTCTGATGCGGGATGTTTCTTACACTTTCCTGGCACGCAGGAGGGCGAACTCGCTCGCAGAGAGACTCCCAGAAAGGCTCCACTGAGACGGCTTCTTGAGAGGAAACAGAGGTCCAGACGCTGGGCTGCGACCTTTGCTGCGCTGCGACCTTTGCTGTGCGACCTTTGCTGTGCGACCTTTGCTGTGTGCCTGGCCTGGCGGACTCGGCTCCTCAGCAGACAGCCGTGTCCTGCAGGGCTCGTCACACTAACGAAGCTTCGCCGTCGTAACCTGGGGAAGGAGGGAGACAGCTGGGGAAAGGCAGGGGAGGCGATCAGAAGTGCGGGTCCCGGATGGCGGGGTGCGGGGCGCTGGCGACTTCTCAGGAATATTACGGGGGAAGCCCGCCAGCCGCCAGGGGCACCTCATTCTTCCCAGGAACCAGTGTGATTCGTCCCCAGCCAACAGCTCAGATGCTGACCTTTTGACCTGGACACAGACAACGCTGGTGTCGAACTGCAGCCGCACACGCACGATTCTCTCCACGGCTCCCAGGCGCTGGCCGATGCCAGTCTTCGGGGAGCGCGGCTCTGCGCCACCCGCTGGCGCTCCGCACGGCACTGGAGCGCACTCCGGGAGGGCAGGTGCGGCTTGTGGGCCTGGAGAAAACACGACCGTCGTGTCTGGGGCTGTGCCCAGAACAGAAGGGGCCGCCGGGGAAAGGCAGTGGCTGACACCTGTGCCCTCCTGGCCCAGGGACGGGCAGCCTCCTGTGATACAGCCGGTGTTTAACGGTGTCACACTGAAGTGACATTATGTCGCCCTCTGAATCAGACAGACGAGGAAGGTCCCGAAACCAAATATTAAACTGGATATTAATTAAACAGGATGGCAAATAATAAATTACCTGTACAGAGGTGTACTTTTAGAGGAAATCGAAAAGTTTAATAATTTATTTTACCCTTCAGGAGGAAGTTTATTGATTTTGAGACGGTTTTTCTGGAAGACCTGGATGCTGGCCGACCCGGAGGACAGACCCGCTGGCTCCTGTTTCTGGCCCACAGGGCGGCTCCCCTGGAGAGCCAGGAGGCCTGGGGCCACCTGGGGCTCCGCCACCTGCTGGTGCACCTGAGCAGGGAGTGGAGGGGGGGACTGCAGCAGCCTTGGGCTTTTATGGGGATGGTGAGGGCAGCGTGGGGGGGGGCTTTCCCTGCCTCTGAAGAGCTCTCTCCCCCTCCCTCCCTGAAGCCCCCGTCTCAGCTCCGAGGCCGGGGAGCGTGGGCCGCACTTCCCTGACCGCCTCCCAGAACGCACTTCGCCTCCGCAGCCTCTCTGGGGAGCCCGTCGGAACTTTGCTAAGGTCGTGGGGTTCACAGTCCAGGTGAGCAGACCGGTACTGGTTCTCCTCCTTAAAGCACAGCCCACTAGGGTCCAGGAGGGCCCTCAGGGTCAGTGGCGGGCCGCCGCCTCCGGGTGTGGTGAAAGAGCCACATCAAGTGGGTTGGCCGCGCCCCGTTCCTGCGAGCCGAGACAAGGCTCGGGGGCGGGGCCGCCTTCACAGGCCCGGCCTCGTTCTGGGGCACGGACTCTGGGCCGCGTGGGAGTGCACGGCTCACACCGCAGACACCCGGCAATGTGGGTGTGCGGCCGCACTCGTTTCCTACTGCGGCTGAAACAAGTCACCACAACCTCGGTGACTCAGAACGGCGCACATGCACCAGCTCACGTTTCTGGAGGCCAGAAGCATACGGGAGTCCGCAGAAACGGGTTCCGTCTGCGGGCCAGTGGGGAAGGGCTCCCGCCGGCCTTCTCTGCTCCAACGGCTGCCCACACGTGCGGTCGCTTCCTCCGCCATTAAAGCCACAGACGAGCATCCTTCCAGGTAAGACCTCCTTCCAGGTAAGACCTCAGGGCCCCGGTTGTCGCTGTCCACCCCTCGATGTTGCCCCCTGAAGAAACCGTTCAGCTTCTCAGGATTTTGGCTCTGTCTTCAGAACAGGTCTCAACCACGGGGTGCCAGTATCACAACATCGGGAAGCATATTGAGAAACATCATGCTCTTCAAGCACAGAGAGTCGTTGACCGCAGTGTTCATAGGCATTTCCTGCGCTGGGGAACCAAGCTGAACTCAAAGTCACATTGTGAGTCGAGGGGCTGCTCCGCGGGCAGGCGGAGGGAGTGTCAGAGGGGCCCATCGGAGCCTGGAGGCCCGGGTGCCCGAGGAGGAGCCCGGGTGGCTGAGGCGGAGACACTGTGAGGCTGACAGTGGAGTCCACGAAGGGACCAGCTTGAGGCAGGGGACAGACTGCCCACGGAGTGCAGCCGGACGGCCACGGGACAGTGCCAGGTCCACAGAGCCACGGGCAGGCAGAGTGAGACGGTGGGGCACCCAAGTCAACCAAGCCAGTCCCAAAGCGGCAGGCGAGTGAGGGGAGGCGTGGTGCGGAGGTTCAGGGAGTGCAGGCCCAGGAAAGTCCCAGGGGGTGGTCCGGGCCCCCCTGGCCATCGGCAGCCACATGCTGGCCAACGTCGGCCGCCCGCCCAAGAGTCGCCACGTGGGGACGAACGCGTCGAGTCCGAGAACGTCCCGTCACCCGGGTGGGGCCCCCGAGGCCCAAGGCTGCCAGTGACGAGGGAACGGTGAGCCAGAATTGTAACCGTGACTGCAACCGGACCTTGCGGATCCTGGGGGACCCAAACCGGAAAACAGCAATTAACATTCTTCGTGTGATGCCAAAACACTTTGGAAGTTCTCCTGTTGTTTAATGCTGTTGACATCTGTCGCGTCCTAGACAAGGCACCCCGCCTCCTATTAGTGGTGATAACAGTTTCCTCAGGAAGCCAAATGATTTACTTTATGCTTTCGTTAATTATAGAGAAGGAAACTCAAACTCCTCAGGTTATTTCCCACACGTACACGATAAAGACCCATGAACACCTGACTGCAAGCAAATATCACATCCTCGGAGACAGAAATCGACAGTTGCGTGAAAAAAAATAATTTGAAAATATTTACAAAGTCTGACTTCACATAATCATTGAACATGCATGCACGTTAGACTATTTCCTATTCCTAAATAAAATCTCCAGGATGTTGCTTAGTGTGACCACTGAGTCCACTGGGAACAAGTTGGCATGTGAGGCAGTGGCCCAGAGGCCACAGCAGCGCAGCTTACCCCTTGGTTCAACGAGCAATCTGGTCATGAAATACAAGGTACCATTTAGGTTGCTTTCCCCGTTCATTCTTGGTTTATTTTTAGTGTGGGCCCTCTCAAAGTAACAGTGGTATTTTCATGAGATTTTTTGGTAACTGAAATTACAGAGTTCATTTAAAGTGAGTCAGCCCTGGCTGGTGTGGCTCAGTGGATTGAGCACAAGCCTGCGAACCAAAGGGTCGCTGGTTCGATTCCCAGTCAGGGCACACGCTTGGGCTGTGGGCCAGGTCCCCAGTAAGGGGTGCGTGAGAGGCAACCACACATGGATGTTTCTCTCCCTCTCTTTCTCCTTCCCTTCTCCTCTCTCTAAAAATAAAATAAATAAAATCTTTAAAAAATAAAAAAACAAAGTGGTGAGTCAGGGCCCAGTCCGAGGCCTGTAAAATTCCCAAGCTCTTATCTCAGCCCGTTCAGGAGTCTTTGCTCCGGGAGCCAGGAGCTGAAGTGCTTGCTGGGCCCCCTGGGAGGGACATGGTTTCCCCATCAAACCCTGTGTGTGGCTCCCGCGTGTGCACGTGCAGCCCAGAGTCACAGGCAGCAGGTAGGACGCAGACAGTGCCGCGCAGGGAGGGGCGGCTGCCTGCCCCAAGCTCAGCCAGAAAGCCGAGAGCTCTGGGGGACACAGAGGCCGCAGACTGGGCCCCCTTTCCGCACCAGCCGCCGGTCAGCGCGCCGCAGAGCCGAGGGACCGGAGCTCGGCTGCTGGGCCCCCAGCTACCTTTCCGAAGCACACAAGTGGCGCAGAAAGAGAGAAGACAAGCGGAGAAGAGTACTTCAAAGGCACCGCAGGGCTAGCAGGCCTCTTGGCCGGACCCTTGCACAGGCGCCCGCCTGTCTCCATCACATCCCAGCGCCTCCGGTGGCGTCTGCGGCCCTGAGTTTCTGGCTCTGTGACTCGGGCTGGGACAGCCCCCTGCTCTGGCCGAGAGGGAGAAACTGAGGCTCTCGAACGAGCCCTAACACGGACACAAACACGATGCAGCAGGACTGGGGCCAGCGGGCCAGGCCCCTGGGCCCCGGACACCCCCTCTGCGGGCCCGTCTCGGGCAGACTCCAGGTTGGCCGGGGGCCCCTGTTCTGCGTCGTGAGAGGCTGGGGGAGACAGCGCTGGCCGACGCTGCGCAATCGCAGCTCTGGGAAGTCCGGAGTTGCCCGAGGATGGACTCAGTCCAGGGGGTGGGGAGTCTCTGGCCAGTAACTCCTGAGTCACAGTCCGATGACCGCTCCCTAAAACACGGTGCACAAACAAACCTGTGCAGGAGCGTAGAAAGTTTCCACCCCACCACGCGTGAAGCCGGGGCCCAGACTTGCCGGAGGCCGTGAGGCGGCCACGCCCCGGGGAGCCGACCGACGAGGCCTCAGGCCTGGGCTGCCTCCCTGTCGTCGGGCGGACGGACTGACGCCTGGGGACCCGCTGCTCTTCCTTCCGGGGGCTCAGTTTTCGGAGGGCCGGCCTCAGAGCCGCAGCCCCCGGAGCTGGACCGCTGGGGTCAGCTTGTCTTGTTCTTATCACTTATCCACTTCCAGTTTCCCTGCCAGTTTGTTAGTGCGTGCGTTTTGATTAAAGCGGCATTAAAATTGTATGTCAGAGCCCTGGCTGGCGTAGCTCAGTGGATTGAGCGTGAGCTGTGAACCAAAGCATCGCAGGTTCGATTCCCAGTCAGGGCACATGCCTGGGTTGTGGGCCACGGCCCCCAGCAACCGCACATTGATGTTTCTCTCTCTCTGTCTCTCTTTCTCCCTCCCTTCCCTCTCTAAAAATAAATAGATAAATCTTTTAAAAATTACATGTCAGCGGCAACCCATTTTAACATGAGCTTCTCAAGTTTCCAGGTCCTAGCGCCTGTGTTTCCCCGTGAGAACGCCTAAGACCTGCAGCTTGCCACTGGGAGACCTAGCGTTCCCGACATCTGCGCTATTTTCTCACGAAAATAAATTCTAGCTGGTCCCTTCCTTTGGGAGGATTCCGTTGGCCGACCACGTGTGACCATGTGGCTTCCGAACACTCGGCGAATAGAGTCAGGGAGGGCGAAGGCCCAGCTCCCGGGCACACGGCGGGGGGAGGGGGGTGGGGGGAGGGGGGACGGGGGAAGGGGGGAGGCGGAGGCTCCTCCCGCCAGCGCCTCCGGAGCGTCTCCTCCGGTCTCCTCCGGTCTCTCTGGCTCAGAATGCGACACACACCGGCCTCCCCGGCCACGGGAAGGCTGCCACTCTCGCTCTCGTGACGTGCAGGAAGCCACGGCACGCTCCTGGCTGGCCCCAGACCGCTCGCCTGGTGACGGGGTCGTTCGTGAGTCAGGCGTCACCCCGCTTTCCCTCCCCCCTCCCCCGTCACCGCGGCCAAAGGAGGCGCCGGCGAGCCCGGGAGTGAGCGGTGCAGAGCGCCCCAAGGGGCCCTCCGCCGGGCCGGGCGGCGCTTCTCGCTGGCCCGCGGCCCCCGGGTCGGTCCCGCTGGCTCCTTCCCGCGGCTGTAACAGCCGCCAGACACGCCCGCGCGTTGCCGCGAGGAACGGGAAGCATGGGAACCGGCAGCCGGGTCTTCCTCGCGGCGTGAAGCCTGCACCGTCCAGGCACAGTTCCGCGTGTCCGTCCGCCGCCTGGCGCCTGGGACAGGCCTCGTCCTGCTCCCCGGACAGCGGCTCGCGGCGTCCGGGAGGCGAGCGTCTCCTCGCCCTCGCGGTTCCCGGTGGTGGACCGTGGTCACGCTGGTGCGGGTCTCGTGGGCGTCCCGGTGGGGGTCTCGTGGGCGGGGAGGCTGCTGACGCAAGGAAACCCCCGACAGCGAAGTCGCGCTCCCTTGAGGGGAGACCACCGGGCATTCCACGGGCGTGGGGTCCTCCCCCCAGAGGGGAGAGCCCGCCGCTGCAGGCGGGGCGGCCGCGCACCTGGGTTTGCGGGAAGCCCGGGTCCGTGCCTGCTGTCCAAGGGCCACTGTGAGCAGCCCCTTCCACGCGCCAGGGTCCCCAGATTTAATCAATGGAGTATCGGTCCCGCCGTTCTCAGGACCGTGTGTGTATCTGTCTCCAAGGCCTCGGCACTGCTGAGCGGCCGGGGTGCAGAGGAGGCTCCGGCGGCCCGAGGGACAGACGCGGGGAGCGGGTGCCGCCGCGAGTCCGCACTGCGGACGCCGGGACGCGCTTTGAGGGCGGGGCTGCGCAGGGGGGGGGAGGGGGCCTCCGCTGTGGGTCCTGTTCTGTGGACCTTCCTCTGCCGACACGTGCGTGGGAGGGAGGGCACTTTCTGCAGTGTGGAGGGGGCTCCGCAGCAGCACCATGCACGTCCCCAGCTGGAACCCCCACTCACCCAGTGAGTCCTTGAGCTGGGCTCGGCCAGACCGCGGCCTGACACGTGGAGCTGACACTTGCCGACGTGGAGGCTCCTGGGGAGGCCGCGCACACGGGCGAGGCTGGGAGCTGGGTGTCTCCGTAAGCCCCCTCACAGGCGGGAACCCAGGCTCAGAGAAGCGACGGCCGTGGGCCACGGAGCCGGCAGGTGGTAGGTAAGTGAGGGTCTGGCGTGTGCGCGTGAAGTGGGGGAGAGAGAAAGGTCGCAGGGACACTGGGCAGGTCGCAGAAACCAGAGCTGGACCGACAGGAAGACAGTGGCCGACACAGGGGGGAGCCGACACTCTCCTGGATCACCCCGAGGACTGGTTTTCGCTGCGCCACAGAAGCTGCGCTGGGGTCTTGGGCTCCTCGCGCAGCCTGTTGGGGGGGGGGCGGGGCTGAGGCAAAGGCGAGCAGCGGGGAAGGACGCCGTGCGTGTCTGTACTGAGGTGTCGGGGCAGAGCCGCCACGGGGTGGGGGTGGGGGTTCTGAGAGCTCCCCACTGAGCTGAGGGGAACAGTGAGTAGAGGCCACCCGCTAGGGGAGGAAGGAAGGAAGCACATTAGAGGTAAAGAACCACTGAGTCTGGGGAGGCCGGGAGCGAGGGGAGGGAGCTGGCGGCGGGGCAGGCGGCCCGGGGGCGGCAGACGGTGCCCGGCCCCAGGGGTGGCCTGGGTGCTCCAGGGCGACACCACAGCCAGGACACCGGTCCAAGGCAAGTCCGGTGCACGGATGACCGGCGAGGAACTGAGCGCAGCGTGGGAGCCCGGGTGCAGACTCTGAATCCGGAGCCTCCCAAAGAAGTCACGGGCGTCGGGCCGAGAAACAGGCCCAGGAAGAGGGTCCGGGAGACCCCGCGGGGTCAGCAGCCTGTGGGGGGGACGCTGCAAAAGTGACTCCTCCAGACCTCTGCCAGTTTCATCAAAACGCCTCTGAAACACCTGACACCACAGAATTCCACGAGGAGAGAGGATGATTTCCTTTGTCCCCCCGCTCTCTGCTCCGGAAACTGCACGGGCCTCCTCACGGCGCCTGCACCGGCCTCTCCGAGTCCGGGCGGGTCCCAGGGACTGGGCACCAACCAGGTCAGGCCCTCCTCACCTGTGGGAACCTCGGTGGGCATGCATGTCTCTCTGGGCCCACAGTTCTCGCAGGTAAGAGGCCAGACCGGGCGCTTGTTCTGATGGACAAGGTGTGAGGCGAAGGCTGCCCAGCGCGATGGCGGGTGCCAAGAGGAGTCTCCAGTTCTCGCTGCGGCGGTGCCAGCTCTGCTTGCAGCCCGCTGTCCCCAGCGCGGTCAGTTCTCGTCGTTTCGGTGGGAGGGGGACCCTCCGCCCTGGCCCTGGCCCTCGGTCCCTCTCCAAGCCACAGGGACTCGCTGTGTGTGATTTCTGAGTTTAACCTTGTGTCAGCGCACTTCTCTGTGTAGCTGGTCATTCTGGAAACGAGGCACTTTGCCTTTTTATCTGCTTCTTTACTGCACCCACTCTCCTTAAACTCAGTGGTAGTTGGAGATGGAAAACTCTGGAGAACAGTGACCAGAATCTTGGTCCCCT